GTCCATAAAATGCATTGCTGTTCTGTTGTAAGTGATCTTAAAGATTCCTAAATGCATCTACTTTTGGAAGGCCAAATAAAGTGCTTTTGCTTTCGCCTAGAAACACACAGCGTCTCCCTGACATGGCTGCTTCAACACTAACTGCGGTTACTGAAACCACGCCTTCTTTCTTTGCGTGAACATTTGGGCGCATTATGCAAATATTCCCACATAGTGACCTAGATATGTGGGGGCGTGTTAGAATGAGCCATTTTAGGGGGGTGTGGCATAGTCTTAACTTTGATAAAGAATATCTCTATGGTTTTGAGACTTTAGTCTTTGCAACTTCAGGGATCTTATCTATTCACAAACAGCTTGTAACACTCCAAAGAGAAAGGAAAACTTGAAATCGCATCATATGACCCCTTTAAGAAAAAGGTATAAATTGGATGACTCTGAAAATGTCATGTGGTGTAACCTACAAATAAATTGTAATATTTTCTTATTGCATAGAAATAATGTAATATTGCATCTTGAATACAGGTGAGTGTGCACATCATTGATCAGTTTTTTTTGTAAATATTGAACAAGTGAAAAATGTGATATTTTTCAAGTGATTTTTTTTAATGTAAATATCATGAATTCATAAATATCATTACATTTTTGTGAAGTTGCACCACATGACGACTTACAGTCTGAAATTTTGTATTGTCATAAAAAAAGTCAAGTTATTTGATATTTTGAGACATTTTAGAGTCTGCACTGCAGTGGTCTTGTCTATGAAATAATCCTGTTTCATGTTTCTGTATATTGGTTGGACCACATGATGTTAGTTATCTGGAAAAGTTGTTCGAATATTAATATAAAATATAATTTCTTTTTTAAATTTTTCTTTCTAATGTACTACCCAGGTATGTTTTATTTTCTTTTTTAAATCTTAACCTAAATGTATGTTGTGTTAATGTTGCAGAACGGTCTGCACAGTACCGTTGATAGATTACATAGACGGCAATGATTATACCATAGAGCCACAGCAGGGAGGGGATGAGGACGGTCTGGCGCGAGGCGCCTGGGACTGGAGCCTCCTGTGGAAAAGGGTCCCTCTCAGCAGCAGGGAGAAGGCTAAGAGAAAGCATAAGACAGAGCCTTATCGGTAAACTTCCACCCTCCCATAAGCATGATCATTAAACCCATTCTGTCTCTCTCTTGTTTTGTCTCCCCTGTCCCCTTGTCTGTGTATGTATGTATGTCCATGTTTGCTTGCATGGACATCCCTCTTGCCTCTCCTCCATCCTCTGTGGCCATGTTTAGAACGGTGTGCACAGTGCCTCTCATAGACGCTATTAACGGCAAGACTTTCACCATCGAGCCCCAGGGGGGCGGAGACGAGGATGGCTTTGCCAGAGGAGCATGGGACTGGAGCATGCTTTGGAAACGCGTGCCTCTGAATAGCAAGGAGAAGCAGAAGAGACTAACTAGAACTGAGCCCTATCGGTAATTTAGAGCCATAATCCTGAGCTGATTAGGGCTGACCACAATACACATAAGTGGAGAGACCTTGCCTCTCACTTATAAAGACTGGTGGTGGTCTGCTTATCTCTGCTTCTTTAACAGTTTGGCTCTTATGACACTCATTAAATACTTCCCGCAATGTGCTAAAGCTGTATACTAACTGCTATGAAGTGGTCATAACACAATGAAGTGATTTTAACAAAATACTTCATATACTATGAGTCCACCATGACTGTTCTGGTAAAGTCGCTACTACTAGAACTACTAAACTAACGACTCATAGACCTTGTTTCTGCTTCTCTTTGCATGCAGTCTCCATTCTGTCGTGTCTACAAACTTATCCCTCCTGTGGTAGTGACTTGGCGTAAGCGTGCCCAAGTGCATGTGCCTAGCCACCAAACGGGAAATTGTGTATGCTACTTAATTTTTACTTGAACTTCTTTACAGTGTTATAATATGCCGTTTTCTGTCCGCTTCTCTGCAATAAAGTTTTCAAAAGCTGTTTACTGCTACACAACGGAAACAAGTTGCAACACAATGGAAACAAGCCACAACACCGCAAAATTGTTGTGACAATTTCATTGTGTTATGGAGATTTCGTCGAAATTAGTGCAACACAACAGAAACAAACGGTAACACAACGAAATGAGCACAACACAACGAAATTAACACAACACAATGGAAACAAGCCACAACACCGCAAAACTGTTGTGACAATTTCATTGTGCTATGGAGATTTTGTCGAAATGAGCGCAACACAACGGAAACAAACCGTAACACAACGAAATTAACACAACACAGCGAAAACAAGTCGCAACAGCAAAATTGTTGTGACAATTTCGCAGTGTTATGGAGATTTTGTTGTGTTGTGCACTACGGCCACCATATAAAGGCACTGAGACAAAACATGAGCATTTTTATTTTAATGGGAATGCTTTTTTTTGTATTATGTATGACAGCATTTTACTGCTTGTTTTGGTGATTCTTTGGCTTTGTTCACACTACAGGAAAAAATCGGATTTTTTTTCGCCTCATAAATTTGATTTTAAAATGTATTGTTTAGACTGTTCAAACTTACGTTACTTGTGGCAAAACACACACACACAATATTATTAGCATATTAGTAAAAAAAAATGTAAACTTGTCAAAATGTATTTTTTTCAGGCTACAAAAAAAAAAGTACCACTAAATGAATTTCAGCTTTTTACTGCCAGTCTGAACAAGGCCTTGTCTATTAGTGTTCTTAAATACCATACTGTATGTGTGTGAAATGTAAGGGGGAAGCATTCCTGATAGGTAAATATGTATGGCAGGTCTCCTGCAATGGCTGGAGGACTCTTCGCAATAGAGAGAGATTTCTTTTTCGAGCTGGGCCTCTATGATCCAGGCCTACAGATCTGGGGAGGAGAAAACTTTGAGATATCCTACAAGGTAAACTTTTACTTTAAATTGCTGGTGCTCTCTCAGTTTAAAATTTACTAGATTTTTTTTTAAGGTGTGCATACAAGGTAATTCTGTGTTTCTATTTTTTTCCCAAGACTTATTTGTTTGTTTGCTTGCTTTTATTTTAATTTGTTCTGTATTACACTGAAATACTGATTCTGATTGGTCACTTCCATTTCATTCAGTCAATTCTGAATAATGATGTTGAGTCAATGGCAACATTTGACTGATCAGTTTTTCTTACATAGCTGTGCTTGTGTTCAGTCTTACCAAATGTCTCTACAAATAGGATAATAAAATCATTTTCACTCAAATCAATACTTCATGCCCATATATTGATTTACGTAAAAAAGTAAGTAAAAAAAAAAAAAAAGAAATCTACAGTCAAACGGTCTTTATCACAAAATAAACTTCAGGGCGTTTTATCCTCTATATTAATTGCACAAAGCAACATATTTAACACTTTCTGAATCCCTGCCGTGTGTGTGTCCTGTGTAGATATGGCAGTGTGGTGGGCAGCTTCTGTTCGTGCCATGTTCACGGGTGGGGCACATCTACCGTCTACAGGGCTGGCAGGGAAACCCACCTCCTGCTCATGTAGGCTCATCCCCCACGCTTAAGGTCAGTTCCACTCTCTTTTTTTTTCATAAACCTGCTTCTCTGAATCTGAAAACAAAGCTGGTTCACAGCTATACTTTACACTTTAAATCCAGTCTGTAACCTCCGCTCTCCTCTTTGGCTGCGTGTAGAACTATGTGCGGGTGGTGGAGGTGTGGTGGGATGAGTATAAAGACTATTTCTACGCAAGTCGACCTGAGACACTGACACTGGCCTACGGAGACACCAGCAGCTTGAAAAAGTTCAGAGAGGAACATCGCTGCAAGAGCTTCAAGTGGTTCATGGAAGAGATTGCCTATGACATCCCTCTGCATTACCCACTGCCTCCAAAGAATGTGGAATGGGGCGAGGTGCTTGTATAATCAATGCAAAGAAAAACACAGTTGAAACTGGTTTAAAGATATTGGCATTTGTCATCACTTTCTCTTTCAATAGATCCGTGGGTTTGAGACCAGCTACTGCATCGACAGCATGGGCCACACCAATGGTGGCAATGTCGAAATTGGGCCTTGTCATAGAATGGGTGGAAATCAGGTAAAGGAAAACGATTTAGCAGCAGTACTTTACTTTTTACAGTTTGCATGACAAGCTTTTTATTTTTCCTCTCTCCCGTTCATTTGATTTTGCTTATGCCTTTCTCTAGCTCTTTAGAATTAATGAAGCAAACCAGCTCATGCAGTATGACCAGTGCCTGACAAAGGGGGGAGACGGAACTGCTGTCATCATAACACACTGCAACCTAAACGAGCACACGGAGTGGAGATATTTTAAGGTATGTCACAGGAGATATCGAGCCATCTTTGGTCTTGGTTTCTAAGTCAAAAAAATGCTATTTTTACAACAAATAAATAATTTTATTTACATCAAAACATTTGGAATAATTCTTTTTTAGTCAAATCCTATACACAAATTAAGCTGTATATGACACTTTACAATATGTTTCAGTAGTCTAACACTAGTTTATAATTGCTTGGAATAAATAACTAAATTTTAAATAATTAAAATAATTAAATAATAATAATCTTGGTTGATTGTTAAAAATGTATTGTCTGCAGAAATTCAAGTTAATATATAGGCTACACCATAATTCAGAAGTTTTTTGTAAGTTAAGATTTTATTCAATGTTTTTGAAAGAACATCTTATTCTCACCAAGGCTTTATTTATTTGATGGAAAAATTCAGTAAAAACAACAATATTGTGAAATGTTGTAAATAAAATAACTGTTTTCTATTTGAATATATTTTAACATGCAATTTATTCCTATGATGGCAGAGCTGATTTTTTTTAGCAGCTATTGCTCTAGTTTTTTTTTTAGATTTGCTGCTCAGGAAACATTTCATATCATCATCATCATCATCAAGTGTAATATTTTTCTGAAAACCTTAATACTTTTATTTTTTTGGTGAATGGAAAGTTCAAAATAACAGTATTTATTTGAAATAGATTTTTTTTTACAATGTAAAAGTCTTTACAGTAATTTTTGATTAATTTAACGAGTCCTTAAGGGTACACTGTGTAACTTGGGACTCTAGCGGTTAAGAAACAAAACTGCACGCGTCTTGCGGAAGAACATTGTAGACGGTGCTACTTCTCTCTGTTTGTCATGCAGCTACTGGGCGACTCTGCAGCGGTTGTTGTCCTGACAGGTCTAAAGTTGTCCTAATATTAAATTACAGGTGTACCGTAGTGATTAAGGATTAGACAAAAACACGGTTTGGAAGATGGGTTCATGATGTACTTGCTCATTATATAATTTTTTAAAATATTTTTAACAAAAAAGCTAGTGTACCTTAATGAATAAAAGTATTAATATCTTTAAAAAAATATTGACCCCAAACCTTTGAACAATAGTAAAATATAAAAACATAATATCCTTTAGTTAATGGGTTGTTAACAAACATGTAATAACAATGAACAATAATATATGTAAACTAGATTAAAACCTAGTAATAAATACTGTACAAATAGTGTTTTGTTAGGTTGTTGGCAGACTTTACTCTTGTACCTTGCTGTATCGATTCTTGATTGAACTTTTCCAATGCTTCTGATTTTTTAGGATCTACATCGATTCACACATATACCTACAGGGAAATGCTTGGATCGCTCTGACGTCTTGCACAAAGTTTATATAGCTGACTGTGACAACAGCAAGAGCTCGCAGAAGTGGGAGATGAACAACATTGTGGCAGTTTGAGAGCCAGGCTCAAATGTGCTTCAAGGATAAACACTGACTACAGCAACAGGTTTTACCAGTATAAATGTGACTAATTAGGTTTTAGTCATCACCCGAATAACTCTGAACTCTGATCATAAACATAAACTTTTTTCTCCATTGAAGACAATGTTTACATCGGGTCATCCCCAGTGTCCATCGCATGGGTTTTTCTTTGGAATCTGTGAATTGGAGGGGTCTACCTAACAGAATGTTTTTCCCTTTCACAGAATGTGCACAATGTGTGCTGAGATGAATTATCTAATACCACTTTTGTTGCTGCTCCATTATAAAATACAGGTTGTCCATCAAGTACTGGGATGCATATTTTTTTAATACTGGACCTTCATTATGTTTGAGATGACAACCTGCCACTTGAACTATTTTCGTCTTTGGCACAATGGCACTTTTTTTGCCATATACTATGGGTAAAGAATGGGAGTGGAGAGAAATTGGGATATAAGGTCAACAATGAGAAAAAAAAAGCGATAAATTTATTTTTGTCTGCTGCATTAAAAAGTTTGATTGGTTGGGGGAATAGATGTTTATTTGTATGTGAAAATCAACGTTTGATTATAATACTATTCATGGCCAAAAATCATCTCGAGCAAATGGAGCAAAGTTATGTTTTAAGGGCAAGAATGATTACAATGTGTACATTTTAGTTTTTGTACAATGTAAATATGAGTATTTCTAAATTAACCTTTTGAGATATGGTGGGCTTCCCAATGAAGGTGTAAATATCTAACTTATAATGGTTGTTTTCTCAAGAAAATAAATGGAACATTTTTACCAGTCTGCTGCTGTATGAAAGTGCTGTTTGTAGCAGGTTAAATGATATTTCAACCATTTAGATGATCATGAGGATTACATTTTTGTAGGCTGTTGGGAATGTTGTTGGCACTTTCCATAAATAGGGTATCCCATTGGTTGCCGGTTTTTTAAGAAGCATAAATCACATCTTTTCTGTAGCAAAATTATGTGTTAGATTAAATATATGGAACCATGAAAAGTAGGCCATTTAAGCATGTTTAATACCGAAGCCATGCCATCGTTTCTGGACTACAGAGTTGTTCCAAATGTTGTCCAAAAGAGTTGCATAGCTCAAATTTTAAGAAGCTAAACAGGTTATAATTAGGTCAACATTTGGTTTTCAGAGTTGCTGAAATAAAGAACCACCTCCCTTTGAGAAAAGTTTCATGCTATTTTGTACTCCATTCTTGGAAAGTGCCTACTAAAAAAAATAGAGATGATCCCAAGCATTTGAATAATTACAATAGACTGTCTGTGTGCTGCTTAGGTTGTTCAAGGCAGTAGACTGAGCGCGTGCAGGAAAAGCATCAGCTGTGCAGCAGTCTGTTGGATACAGGTGAGCAGATGTCATGTGTATGATATACGGCACACCTTATTGTGACTACATACAGGTGCATCTCAATAAATTAGAATGTCGTGGAAAAGTTCATTTATTTCAGTAATTCAACACAAATTGTGAAACTCGTGTATTAAATAAATTCAGTGCACACAGACTGAAGTAGTTTAAGTCTTTGGTTCTTGTCACTTGGCCAAGCAAAAGCCGAACATAAATCATTAATGTACTCAAGTCGAACTCTGATTACAGATGAGGTTGCATGTGCATTTACGTCTTATTTTTCAGATCAAGTCATTCATTTGAGAAATTAGTATTTGCCTTTTCAATAGGTCAACCAAATGGCAAAAAAAAAATCTCCCCCCCCCCCCCACAACCTTGGTTTAAGATGGCAATTACACCCCCATAGTACTTATGGCCACCTCACAAGAAACTAAACCTAATTGGATAAAATAAAATCAAAATGGTCTATTAGAAGTACAAAACTCTGCTTTTAATGTAGTTGCACCTGGTTGTAAAACTAGGAGTACATACAGAACAGCTTTAAGAGTTCTAAAACTAAAGCAGAACTGAACAAACTAAAAGGTAAAAAAAAAAAGTTTGCCTAGTCCATTAGTAATTTTTATATTTCAATAATCTTAGTTACTCAACTAAGCAGCACTAGCTGCTATGAACTTAAATGTGGTCTGACAACACAGAAATTCTGCAAAATTATTTAATAAGTCAAAATTGCACAGTGAAAATGGGAATTGGTCACAATATACACAAAAAAAAAAGGATTCAGTCTACACAACTTTAAAGCTTGTTTTAAAAATTGAGACACTACACAAATCCAAATTGTTCCTTATTTGTCTTAAAATGGCAGTAGTAGATAATATCGAACAGGGAAAAGAAACCAAAGCAACCACAGCTATCAAGACAAAAAGCAGTGCTTAAAAAAAAAAAATGCTGTTACATTTACAAAACAGCACATGACCTCAATATGTATTAAATTACACACATTTCTGTACATGTATTGAAAAACTTTAAATGCTAAAAAATGCATTCACATTGTTTTGCAAACAACTCGGCTCAAGTTTTCCTGATAGTTTAATCGTCCTCATCTTCGTCATCCTCTTCTTCTACATCCTCCTCTTCCTCATCCTCATCGTCGTCATCAGCTTCGGCCTTCTTTCCTGCAGGCCGGCCAGGTCCACCCTTCTTGCCACCATCTGCTTTTCCTCCTTTGGCACGATATGCAGCAACATCCTGGTTGGAAATTATTTGTTAATGCCAGCAAAACATCAAATGGTTTTTGAAAGTACCTAGAATTGGGCCAACCGTTACCTTTTCATACTTCTCCTTGAGCTTCATGGCCTTCTGCTCATATGGAGCCTTTTCCTTTGGTGAAATCTTGGACCACATCTCCCCGAGCTTCTTTGCAATGTCACCAATAGAGATGCCAGGGTTGTCACTCCTCACCTTTGGGCGATGGTCAGAGCAGAAGACAAAGAAAGCAGATCTGATGACAAGAGGAGAAAAAGAAAAATGATACTCAAGTCAAAACAAAAGAAATCTCATGGGTCCATTTGTGCACTACTCACGGTGGCCTCTTCGGAGCATTTGGATCCTTCTTTTTCCCTCCCTTTGCACCTTTAGGAGGCACGTAGTTTTTCATCTCCCGGTCATAGCGGACCTTGTCATTTTTGGCCATTTCCTCAAACTTGCCCTTCTCCTTTGATGACATGGTCTGAGAAACATGAGACTATGATTAGGTTCTGCCAGAAGCAGTGTGTGGCTCTTTATCCTCCCGCCCTACATTTGCCTCAGTCACCTGAGTAACAGATGCATCGTGTAATTCTGCCCCACCCCCTCCCTAACAACAACAACCACCACCCCCCGGAAAAACATTGCAGCCCTTCTGTTCAACTCACCTTCCATCTTTCAGAGCACTTCTTGGAGAACTCTGTGAAGTTCACCGAGGTCCCTGGGTTTTTCTTCTTATGTTCCTCCCGGCAGGTTTGCACAAAAAACGCGTAAGAGGACGTCTTTCCTCTGGGCTTACTAGGATCTTTACCCATGGCTGTGATATGCTAAAAGTGATAAAAACACCAAAAACGGTTTAAAAAAAGCAATAAAAGCAGCAGCATGTATTGTTAGTCAAACCCCCGTTCGAGCATCGCTTTGTACGCTTGTAAAGCAACAGTGAAATGGTCGCTCACTAAACGCAAGTTAATCCGATCAAGTTCCTGCTTCGTTTCCACCAGATCACTCAACTAGAACAATAAGCGTCCCTCCATTTTGTTATCCCGCCTAAACTGCAGGAAATATGCTCTAGAATGTCTGTCGAGAGTAAATGGTTTCAGATTCTACGCGTTAAAACGAAAATAAACCCACCAAATCAGCAAGACACTACTTCGGAGGACTTTTAGCTGCTTCAGGCTCAGGACACAGGCGCTGAGTCTCCATTACGACCTCAAACTCCCAGCCAGTCATGGCTGCTTACGCTCTTAACTTCACAAGATCACTAAACTGCTAAAATCCTGGAAAATCTAACGTTACGTCTAAACAAAATTAACAAAGCTAACTGTTACACCTAAGACGATAACATTTCCATAAACACCACTTCACTTAATTTGAACTAAAACAATAGTAAAGTCTTAAGTTTCGTATAAAATACTTAATTCGTACAATAAATAATCACGACCATGAAACATAATTTTTCCCAGACTCGCTCGATAAAAGCTCTATTTAAAAAAAAAAAAAAAAAAAAATTCTAAAAACATTTGCTAGATAAACCAAGCCATGCTTACCTATAATCAGCCTCAACTGCTCGACAAAACGTACGTAGTCTAGTCTTGTAAACTGTTTTGTTGCTGTGCTGCAGGGCGCACAAACTTGATTAAATGCCCATAGACTCCACCCTCTGAGCTCTCATCTGATTGGTTGGGACAAGTTCAAATTTGAATCGGCAAATTTCTAGGAGCGGTATTGAAGTCCTATTGGCTGTTTATGACCGCAGTCAAGTTTCTTCGTGGAAATTAGATCCAGATGACGACGCCACTGATCTCGTCAGCTATTGGTTGAACTGGGGATTTAAAATAATGAGCGGTAAGTCTTTGAATCGGGAAAATGCACCTCAGTTTTATTCTTATTTTAAACGTCTGTCTGAAACAAATATGAATAGGTTACACACACTGAGTGAAAGTGTTTGAGGGATGATCTCCCTGCCAAACAAAATCACATTCAGGTTTTGTGTCAAGTCTGTAGTGGTTCAAACAATGTAGCGCCATATGGACAAAAGCTGAAGTCTGTGTAGATGCGAGTTTGTCTGTTATATGCCTTAAGCTGTATTAAAGTCACATGGTTTTTGTAGATTCTCAGTTCTCATCAAGTATAACTTTTCTTATTAATGTTCTTCGTGTTACTAAGATTTAGTGCTTGAATAAAAAACAAAAATATTTTTTACGTAACCCCATTTTCCCACCGAGAATTATTTTATTTATTTATTTTTACGTGTGTGCAAGTATTGCTACTCTGTAATATACACATTTGGTGACTTTGGTTAACATACACGATCACGTGATACTTTGACCCTTTGTGAGGGGAAGGACGTTTTTGTTCACTGAGTACCATTGAATATTAGAAAGTATTACAACAGACGATAATGCATTGCATAGTTCACGAAAGCATTCTTAAAACTGATATATCAACAAGCATTCATTTTCTTCTAAGTTCATTATTCATTATTATAGCACAATAAATAACATAACTTGTAGACATTATTGTTAGCTGCTGTTGTTGCTATTCTCAGCAGAATTTGTGCCAGTGTTACTATCATAAACACACACATACATGTAAATGTGCCAATGCAATTTAAAAAATAAATAAAGGATATGCTAGTTTATTTAGCTGAAATCTTAGAATAGGCACTTGGGCAGTTCAAGCCAGTTCCATGCGATGTGTGGCCATATAGATACATTGTAGAAAACTACACATTTTAGATGTAACTGTGATGGAGGACTAAATGAGGACATCAGCATGGATTAGCATGACACTGTTACCACCTATATTTGAGCATTAAACAACACCTCACATTCTCCTGAATCACTTCTCTCCACCTTTTGCCTTTGGATTTGAATAGGTTAAGACAATTGAAGTGTAAAACAGTTCTGGAGAATTAGCCAAATGGCTCTGTAAGTACCCTGAGCACAAAAGGCACGATTTGAAAGGCTGATTCAAGTCTGAACTGTGGTCAAATAAGAGGACTGGGTGGACTGATATAGGACATGGCAAGTAGCGCATTAATTAAATGTGAAATTCTGTAGTAGAAAGACTGAAATGGTATTTTCTTGTAAAAAGTACTCCAATATTTTTTGTTTTATATAGCTTTTAATATATCCTTTTATTTTTATTTATTTATTTTTCAGGTTTTGACCAGATAAGGAAAATG